AGCTCTCCTTCCCTGCCAGGGGTCCCCCCCTCTCAACTTACCTGAGCTTCCCACGCCGGGGCAGCCACGTGCTCCCAGCCCAGAAAGGGCTGGGGCTTCTGGCTGGGGGGGTGGAGCCAGGCCCCACTGTTGTTGGAGATTGCCAGGCTTTCCCTGAGACCTACTGCCCTTGGTTTCTGTCACTTTTGACAGGAACCAAGGGCAAAGAAATATTAATTTTCTACATTTTTTTTAGGGGCCTTGTGGGCCAGATAGAAAGGCCTCGCAGGCTGCATCCTGCCCATGGCATATTTTGCCCACCCCTGGTCTAGTAAGTAGTAGAGTAACCATGGGATTCATTGCAGATTGCTGGAAGGAATGATAATATAGAATGAATTTTATTAATTACATTGCACATGATCTTCCAATTTAATTATCTTTAATCAGCATGAAAAACTAAACTCCAACATTTACAATAATAGTCAGTGCTTTTTCCTTTAGGAATCATGTTACTGAAAACATAAGTGAATGGCGAAAAATCTATGATGACAAAGATCCACAAAACCTTCCTTTACCAAAACCAATGAACACGATGTTGAATGAGCTACAAAAGATGATCATTATTCGGTGCCTCAGACCAGACAAGGTAAAAGGATATGCAAATGTGTTTGTAGATGATAACTTCACATAATGCAGTTTGTGCTGATTGTTATAGCATCTAGTTTCTTCTTCAAGTGCTTGTCTGTACATAATGGCATTTCTCCAGTGCAAGTGTATTTTGTATATTTAAGATGGGTGGGAAGATTTTTGGCCATCATAAGCGCTTTGATCCTGTACCACAGGCATTATCTGCTTCATCATCTGCTTCACTGCTACAGCATCACTCTTATACATCGCTCTTATACATACTAAGGCATAAGGGGCTCAGCCATCCCCTTCTAATGATTTATAGCTTCAGAGCCATGGTAAGGTCCATATTCTTGGTGGACTCAGCAAATTGTATTGTTATATAGATTTAAGGCATCTGGTGTTAGCAGGGATTTAGTGCATCTAATATAGTCTTTAGCCATTCAGAAACATTACTTTTTTAAAATTTGTGTTAGGAAAATAAATTCTGGTAACTGGCCAAGCCAAGACCTGAAATAAAGTCTCTGAGTTTTAAGAACTGTCTTTCCTATGAAGTGGCTGCCTATCATTAATGACAGGTTTTGTTTGCCTCAGAAGAGGGTACATACTAAAAAATATTCTGTCTGTTGGTCTCTTTCAAAAAAGAACTTAGTAGGTTTGCTTCAAACCTTTCCTTTGGACCATTCGCTGAGGCCATTCTCAGCTCCAGGCAGGCAAAATTGTCAACAAGAATCTTCTTATCTAGCCTCCAGCCTCTGTGCTTCTTCCTCTAAGGCTGCCCTAAATGGAGTGTTTGGGATCAGGAGCTCTTTAGATGGGAAGACAAAGATAACTTAACCCTTCTATGTCTGAAAGGCCTGCAAAGCACAACATTGGGACCAGACCATTTGGTGCACTTCCAAGTAAGAGGACAGCATCCCCCAGTTCCTCACTTGATACTTGTAACTTTGGCACCATTGAGGTAACACTTAAATGCTCATGTGTTTATTGCTAGCTGAAACACTTTGGAAACCACTGGCTTGGATTCTGTATTGGTTAAGGAACTGAAGGGTAATTCTTCTCTTCCCTTTATATGTTGATATATGTACTTTGTGGATACACCTTGAAGATATTCAAGGTGCATATACAACCCCAGCAAATTGTGATCTTTAATATGTTTAGTGTAAGTGAATCAGGATAAGAATACAAGTGGATGCTACATCTGAGAAAAACACAGTTACTATAAAGTGGATCTGCTATGGCTAGACTTCTCATAGCAGATTGCTGGGGCCCTTTGCTGATTTTGGACTCTTACCATCACTGTCCAGGTAGTAGGAAAGGAGGCGCAGGCAAAGCAGACTCTGCTCTTTGATTAGGCCTCTCTGGAATTGACCTCTTCTAAGATTATTACAGTTGTATCAAAAGGAAAGAAAGGCAAAGAAATAAACAATCACAAAGTAACAAGGAGTTACTTTGACCCAAAAGTAACTGCTTGCTGCCTCCTTGTCAGGTGGTGTGCATTGGCAATGCTTAGGGGGTACACATGTACTCCCTGAGTGTGGCGGTGCACCCCCTGCAAAAAGGCACTGCTGGTGGTGCCTGTGGACAGTCTCTGCTTGCCGCCCACACTGCCAGCGGTGTCTGCAGGTGGTCCGTGATCACTGCTGGCTGCCATCAGCTCCATTTGTGGGTGGTTGCCGATTGCTGGTCAGCATTCGCCACCCTCCCCTGCCGCCACCAGCAGCGCCACGGCTGCCTATGGGAGCTCCCCACTTGTCATCGCCATGCTCCCACCACTGACAGTGCTGCTGCTGCCTGCGGGAGCGTGCTGTGCCCCCCACCCACCAGAGGCATGCAGTATTCATGGTGGTGTGTATGTATACCTGACCACATAGTTCTTTCAGTTAACTAAAAATGAAATAAATAGAATATATGTTCTATTAAGTTTCCATTTTCTTCTTACACTTTAGCCTTCTGGAATTCCAGTGATGTTGATGTAAAAATCATCAGACGTGTTCTAGTTTTACCTAAACATCCTTAATATATGCATTATATATTTAGCTCTTGCTTATAATGATCAGTTTATGACTTTGGAAGTAAAACTAGAGTACCACTTACAAGTATTATTCACCTCTTAGACGTTAGGGATTTATAACTATTTGATTGTTTCAAATATCTGTTTAGGTACACTTCATTTTTCTCTGAGTCATAGCAGCACTGTAAGAACAATCAGAAGGCATTGTTTTTAATTGGTATTAATTTAAAATTTAACAACACCTAAAATTGCAGAATATTTGGAATAAAAACTCCTTTTTATAAATATATACTTTTTGTGTTTCTGTCTGTACAACAGTAGTAGCTGGGCTCAGTTTTGAATTACATCTATCTATGCTTTGTGCATCTTTCAAGGCAAAAACATAGACTTCTATTAGAATTCATGAAAAGTAAAATGTGCTTATGTCACACTGAATGGCAGCTACCTCAGGCCAGGTTTTGCTGTGGACAACATGAAGGCAATGCAGCTAAAATGATAAAATGAGAGCATTATACTTCTCCACTTTGAGTGCTCCATCCCTTGCAATCCTACTTTGTCCTTTTGAAGGTTCCCCCCTATTCCATGAATGAGTCCTGGGTTTGTAAATGGATAGTCTTGCAGATAAGTTTCTAGGCCACTAGGAGTAGATGCTCAAAAGCTAGAATGAGAGGGTACATCCCTCTGTCTTTTGCAGAGGATCATGGAGGTGTGATCACCCAGGCAGTAACAGAGTCCTTTAATTACAGCATGTGGCTGCTGGTGGTTAGAGGAGAAGTCATGGAGCAACTAGGCAATGCGTGTAACCTATTGGGTAGGACCTCAGAAACATGTATTAAGAATGTAAGCTTATCTAAGCTTGGATGTTTGAAAGGTCTTAGATTCTGAACGTTATCAGATTCCTTCAAATTTAGTTTTAATGTTTAAGGTTCTGAGTTACCCAGCATCAGGGCCAGATTAACCCTTTAGTGGGCCCTAGGCAAACAAACTTGTGGGCCCCTATTTAATACTGTGTATTTATATTACTTTTTTCACTCAATAATTACAATATGTGAAATAAGCACAGCTGGGCTCCTTCTTCACTTAGGGCCCTAGGCATGTGCCTAGTTTGCTTATGCGTTAGTCCGGCCCTGTCCAGCATGCGATGGAGAAGAGACATTTTTCATCTTTCCTTTTCTGGCTGGCCGGCCAGTTTTAACTCTGTTAAACCTGAGTTGTTTATAAGAACCTAAGAAGTACCATGCTAAGTCAGGACAATGGTCCATCTAACTCAGTATCCTGTCTCTGACGGTGACAAAAGTGGGTGCTTTAGAGGGACAGCATATGAGTAGTCTATCTAGAGTGATTTATCCCTTGTCATACCCTCCTTGGAATCCACTGTCATTGATTGAGATGTTCCAAATGGTTCTGTTAGTCTACTGAGTGACTCTTCAGCTAGTTGTGTAGCTGGAATGGCAGCGTAATAGACTGTTTTAATTCAGTGCAGAATTGTTACTTTTTCTTGACTCTGTCCTTGCCTGCCCCTTGTTGTGCAAACATTCCCCAGTGGACTCTTTGTATTGTGTCAGCATCACAGCTTGGCACAAGATAGCTGCAAGAATACCAGGGATTAGGTCCCAAGGATGTAGAAGAGCTGTACAGAGTAACTGTGCTACTCAGTTGCTGTATTATCCCTATCCAGCTCCTTGGTTTACATAATGATTTGAGAAACAACAAACAGGATGAAAGCAATTTTGCATACAACAGAACCTTATATGCTAAAAATTATATTTACTCTTTTAAACAGATTAGTCTGGCCATAACAGTCTTTGTAACGGATAAACTGGGGAAGAAGTTTGTAGAGCCACCACCGTTTGATCTAACAAAAAGTTACTTGGATTCAAACTCAACAATCCCGCTAATATTTGTGCTATCTCCAGGAGCAGATCCTATGTCCAGTAAGTATATGCTATGGAGTTTTTCACTTCCTAGCTCTACAAAACAATGACAGAGAGGCAGACTATTATAAATGTACAGCTTTTCAGATTAAAGGCCTGTTTCTCCCTTTTCTTGCACCTTGTGGGTTCATTTTTACCTTTGTAAGTAGGTTTAGAATGTTGTTGGGTCAGGCTGGTTATATACTGTAACATTTGATGAATTATGAAAAAACTTGCATCTAAATAATATACTATCATGTTGTACATAGATTTCAACAAAATAGTTGCCATCAAAGATTAATTGACTTTTACTCAAATGCTAAAAGCTTGCACCTTTTATCCAAGGTCTTCTGAAATTTGCAAATGATAAAAGCATGGTTGGAAATAAGTTTCAAGCCATCTCACTGGGACAAGGACAAGGACCTATTGCTGCAAAAATGATTAAAGAAGGAATGGAAGAAGGGACCTGGGTTTGCTTGCAGAATTGTCATCTGGCTGTTTCCTGGATGCCAATGCTAGAGAAAATCTGTGAAGAATTTAACAGTGAAACCTGTCATCCTTTTTTCAGACTTTGGCTCACCAGTTACCCATCTCCTAAGGCATAGTATCTGTTTAATATTGTGTAATAAACATTTCCACCAAAAAAAATCACCATGCAGTTCTGGCTCAAGGAAGGGGCACATTTTTTTTAAATATACCCATCCTACTACAAGATTATTATGAAATTATTTATATTATCAAAATAGAATCAACAAATATTAGAATAAAATGTATGTAGATTCTTTATTACAAAACAGTGAATTTTCTGCTTAATATTTATGTTTTGCACTCAAAAGTATGGTTTTCATTTTTAATGGTCAAGAAAGTAAAGGTACTTTAAAAGTGTATTTATGTTTTGCTTTATGTTCGGTTCCAGCATCTATATTTTGACTGTTTATTGCTTGGAACAAATCATGATGAAACAATGATATTTTATTTGCAGAAGAGTCCTGTACATTAATTTATGTTAGTGAAAAAAGTCAATATTTTCACATTTAATTATGAATTACAAAAAAAACTAACTTTTTTTATTAAAATCAATTATAAAGTGATAAAGTCTTATCTCAGTGCTTTGCAAACATTTTAAGGCACTTCCTCTGCTTTGAGGAATTTACAGTCTAGGAACCTAATCCTGAAAACACGTTCTTATTAGGAAGGAGGAGAAAATGTGGAAGTATTCTTAACTTTTTTTTTTTTTTTACGTTGGCCAAAAGTAGTTTTGCTGTTAGGTCTACATCTACTGTAGCAGTCTTTATAGCCCTAGCTCATATAAGCAGAAGTTGTTTCAGCCAGAGTGTATAGTCTAGTCATTGTCTACAATACAAAACAGTAAGGATGGCTTTTGGGTTTTTAATGTTTTAGGCAGTAATGTAAATCTGTTGAACACAAGTGACTGCATTGTCCCTTTGCATACAATCTGCACATTTTATTGCTCTCCATCAGTTTGCCACAAATTATCTAAGGCCTGAATTTGGCATTGTGCATTCAATTTTTAAGACTTTGAATATCAAGAACACGTTAAAAATACAAATACGTCCCAGAGACATCTCATCTTCTGCTGGTTTAAATATATACATTGTAATATATACATTTGAAGTAAGAGCTGTATGCTGTATCCAGCTGGTAAGAGACACAACAGAGAAGCACTAATCCTTACAATGTAACAGTTTTCCACATTCACCTAATGCAGTGTTACTATTTGTTTCATCTAGTTTCCAGCTACCATTCTGCAAAATGGAGTAAAGATGACAAATGAGCCTCCTACTGGCCTCCGGTTAAACCTACTACAGTCGTATCTTTCTGATCCTATTTCTGATCCCAGTTTCTTCTCTGGCTGCCCTGAAAAGGAGTTGGTAATTTGCTTGCCTTTTTACAATTTTTTAAATATGTTTTTTATCAGCAAATGTACTTTATCACCAAATTCAAATCTAAAACATTCCTTAAAATTATGAACTCTTGTTCTGAGTGACAATAAATAACGGAAGTGAAGGAAGACTCTCATACAGCTATAGGTCAAATGAACATTCAGGTGTTATTAAATTATCAAAGCTGGAAATCCCAATGCCAGTTACGCTGTAGTAAAACAAAAACAGTAGGAAGTCCCTCAATGGAGGAAGGAACTCTCTGGGGCTCTACCAGGGCGAGATGTCCATAAAACAAAGTCTTTAGTCTCAGCCTTATAGCCTTATAGGTTAGGGACAGACATTCAAAAAGCCTGAGCCTGAATTGATTCAACCTTTGTACGTTAGTCTAACCTAGCTAAGCTGAACTGGTACCAACCATACAGACAATCCCTACGGACTGAGGAAATCCAGGCACATGCCTGCAGTGGCTCAGGCTAGAAGCCAGGGGGAGCTAGAGCAGCCCTCCTTGCCCTTCCGCTGAGCTAAACTGAGGGGGGCATGGCCAGGCCCTGGCAGGACTTCCTCATTAAGAAGGTCTGCCTGTAGGTCCCAGGCTTTTCCCTGCTGGCTGCACAAGGGGTGGGAGCGATGTCAGCCCCCAGACCCTTGCTAAAATTCTGAGGTAAGGTAGGGTGTGCGGTGCATGCATCTGTTGATACAGAGCTTTTCAATCTCCCTCCCTGCTTGTCAGACTGTCTGCAGCAAACTGACAGGGAAGCAAGGCAGCCCAGAGCTGATAAGTCTTTATTGCCCAATTAGCAAAACAATAGCCTCTCTCTCATTACTTCAAACTCTTCTTAAACAGTTTATGGGGGTATTAATTAGCTCAGAAAGCTCTGTTCTGTCTGCCTGCCTGTCCCTATGAAATTGGAGAGATGCACACACAGACACTTCTCAGCATTAGCTAGGATACTACGTGCTTAGGGTCTGTGGGGCTGGGGTCCATGCTGTGGGAGATGGGAGTGGGGGGATTTCCTGCTTGAGCAGCAAGGGGGGTTAGGACAGGGGGGAGCCAGCAGACCCTTCCTACTGTTTTTGTTTTACTCCACTCTGCTGGAGCCTTGTACAACGCTAGCTAGCCTACCACATGCTGGCTATGGTCTGTGCCGTGGGAGACAGGAGGAAGAGATCCCTGCTTAAGCAGCAAGTGGTGAGAGGGGAAGGGGAGGGGGGCATAGGGAAGCCAGCAGACCCTGCTGTGTCTGCAAGTCTGTGCATAGGAAGTGGAGAGGAAGGGTGAGCCTTGCTGTGGAGCAGAGAGCCCTGCCCAGCCCAGAGAGAATGCCAGGATGCTGGGGGTGTCTGGTTTATTTTAAACCAGCAAGGGGTCTGGGATAGACATTGCATAAACTGGTTTGAACCAAATCAGTTAAACCTAGTCTAATGTAGTATCAGACTTATCTCAAACCGGTTTCAGTCATTTTCAAACTGGTTTATGGGCATTGAACATTTGTTCTGTTACAGGTTTAAACCAGTTTCTGATCACTTAAACCAGTTTATGTGCAATGTCTGTCCCTAGTCATAAGAATTCTTGATTATTGAACCACTCATTGCAGCACATTGTCCACTGCTCCCAGCTTGTTATTTGTTGGGAATAAGTGCATAGTTAGTGCAAAGGACTTGTTTCCATGTAAAGCTACAGTAATTAAATGAAACTGAAAAAAACTACTAAATCACTTCTTTCCAAGCAAAACCCAGATACACAAATACCATTCTTGAGCCATACCTATTAAACATACAGAAGTGGAGACAGGGGGAGGAGGGACTGTTGTGCTGTTCTAAGACAGGGGAACCCCTTCCTTAATCCCAGTTGGCAATCAGCTGAAGTCAAGGGTAGGTTTGAGAGAACTGAAGGAGACCTGACACTATCACATCACCAGTATCTTAACCTAATCTTGTTCCCATAAAAACACAGGATAATCATTGCTGAGCTAATGATCATTGGAAAGATGTTCTCATTAGCAGAGTGCAGTGTTATCAACTGTTACTAGTTAATAAAGAAAGGTCCCATCCTGCAGACTCTTGCTTCTGAATGTAGTACTATTGGACTCGGTGAAACCAACTGGCACCGTTCAGGACCTTAGTAGTAAGGTGTGGCAGGATTAACCTCTAGCACATTAAATATTAAGTACATTTGTTATACAGTTATATACTAAGGTTTCAAAAATATCAAATGATATTCAAATTCCAGTGCTTTTATCTTACACTCACTATTTGGTAATTTACTGTGTTTGCTTACCAGCCATCTGCCTAAACTAAAGATCATGTGCAGCTTAGACTAATAATCATTTTTATTTTTTTTCTTTTCTTTTCTTAAAGATATGGGAAAAATTGCTATTCGGGGTTTGCTTTTTTCATGCTCTGGTTCAGGAAAGAAGGAAATTTGGGCCTCTCGGTTGGAATATCCCCTATGGATTTAATGAATCAGATTTGCGAATCAGTATCAGACAGCTGCAGGTAAAGTAATGTATAGCATAATAGAAGCTGTGTTTATATGCTCATACAGTTGTAGGCAGATTTCCACAACTATAATTCATGTTTCTGTGGGTGCTGAGACAGAGATAAATAATGAAGACTGTTGTTATATTTATGAAAATATTGTCATTCATGAGATTAAGAGAAATCTGAAAGTGTTCACAAAGCTATTTTGAATACATAACAATGGAATTAAATCTGTGTGCTAAAAGAGGAATCACTTTCTAGTGGGTAATATTACTCTAGGGAAAGCTGTTTGGGGGTTGGTCATTGGTCTTAACTATCAGAAGAAGTTTTGAGACACAGAAGATCGTCAAAGAATTCCTGTCCAAGTAAGTCCAGGGGTCATGTCAGTATGTGACCAACTAACCTAGTAAGAATCATAAGAGTTTAGGGAAGTAATTACAAATGTTGAAACTGAGTAATTGGAAAAGCTTTAAAAAAAGTGTCACCAGGACTTTTCTGTTCTGGTACAAACATAGACATACCTGGTCTTAGGATAAATGCAAAGTCTTCCTAGCCCAAGAAACATCACAAGGGAACTGGCAACAAAAAGACGCATGGTTTGGTAGGAAAAGTAGGCTGAGGAAGTATTCTAATATTATAAAAGCCTTAGTCTGTCTGTCCCTAATGCTTTATTCGCACTCTGATTGACTGTCTGAAACAACCAATCGGAGTGTGAGCATTCAGACAGCAGTTGGTGGCTATGCCACCATGACAGTGGTGGCAGAGCGGGGGGGCGAGGTGCTGCCCTGCAGCCTGAGGTGACAACAGCAACAGAGTGGGAGGGAGGCAGCTCTGGCCCAAAGTGGTGGGCAGGGGGCAGGGGGAGAGCAGGCGTAGCCCTGGCCCTGGCCCTGGCCCAGCCCAAAGTGGTGGAGGGGAGCGGGGAGCGGACCTGAACCCAGACTCAGCCCCCGCCCGAAGTGGCAGGTGGGAGAGAGCTGGGGAGCGGTTCCAGCCCTGGCCAGTGTGGGGTGGACACAGGCTTCTGTCCCCACCTGTCATTCTTGATGGGCAATTTGCTAGCTTTAGGGTGGTATGAAATCTCCTAGATTTGCCTGTATTTTCTGTTTCAGTTATTCATAAATGAGTATAACCAGGTGCCATTTGAAGCTATATCTTATCTAACGGGTGAATGTAACTATGGAGGTCGAGTGACAGACGATTGGGACAGACGTTTACTACTGACTATGCTAGATGATTTTTATAATCCAGATATAATTGAAAATCCACACTACAGATTTTCTCCCAGTGGCAACTACCACGCGCCACCAAAAGGAACCTATGAGGACTATCTTGAATTTATTAAGGTATCTTATTTTCTTTGAATACTGGAAGCTCAAGAAGTTTGGTCAATTTAGATTCCTTACTGCTGGAAAAAACTTTCAGTGATGTATATTATCTTTTATTTGTTCAGATATTACACAAAAATTTCCTCTTTGTGAATGTAAGAAATTAATGCTATTTAGTACTTTTATAATATCTTTCCTCCAAGGATCTCAGACTGCCTTACTAAACAATGATTAATCTTCACAATATCTATACATGACTGAACTGCAGTAACTTCCAAGGTAGAGCACAAGAGATAAGCTACTGCTATTTTGTATAGCAAGGGAAGAACGCCACATCTAATTAGACTGTCAAGGGAATTTAGACCAAACAAATTAGTTTAAGGGTTAACAGGCCTGCTCATACAAAAAAATGCAAATGGATCTTCAGTGACATTGAACACCATATGCCATGACAGTAATGTCTCTAAGAAGTATTTCTGTAGCACACTGTAGCACTGCAGCATTAGATATTTTATAAGAGGTCATTCATCCAAGTACTGACCTGCTCAGTCTCTCACTGGCTTGTGAAATCTGACAGTACCAGAGCACAAAGGGATCAATGTGAAATATTAGGTGGTTTCATTCAGAACATCTGCTAAGAATGCAGCTGGTGTCTTGGGCCGGGAACAAGGATTCATTTTATGGGCATAGGAATTGTTCCTAGGATGGGTGACTTCAGACACATGGGAAGAAAAACACTTTAAACAGATCCTAATGGTCATGACTGGTGTTGTAATTTTTTCTTGTTACTTTTATGTTGGATTCAAAATAGCAAAAGTAGAAACAAAGTCTGCAAAAGCTGAAACCAATACATAAGTAAGCAGCCCTCAGGGGTCAGGCTTCTCAATAGTTTTTTTTTAACATTTTTTTTCCTGTGCATCCTTCTTAGCTGGGTGTCCTCTACCCCTAAATGCTGGGTTCCCTTGTAGGTTTTTTCATGATCTAAGACAATGGTTCTTAACCAGTAGACTGCAGCTATGCCATGGCAATGCTGCAAGGGGGATACTTGGAGAAGTCAGACCATCCCATTCCTCCAGCCCAAATTTTCCTGTGGCACAAGTCAATACTGGGCTGAGATGCTACACTGCGCCATGTGCAATAACCCTCAAATGAGAAGCAGTATAGTTATCTTAGTGCAGCCCTGCATGCACACTTATTAGCCCAAGTGCAGCTCTGCACTAATGCAGCTATATTGCTCCTAACTGGAAGAGCATGTGCAGAGCTAGCTTGGGTAACTGCAAGGCATGGCCCTGCACTGATGTGTTGCCACACTAAGCTGTCCACACCACGCTACTTCAGATTCTGCTCACCTCCTTTCAGTTCTAGAGTTGCATAAATTTCTGTGGGGATGTTGAGGTGGCTCACAGGATCAGAAAGGGTGAGAACCGCTGATCTAAGGATCTGTAGGATTTGAAGCTCCACATTTGTTGCAGTCCAGTGTGCGCAGTTCCTTGAGGTGGTCAGCAGTTAGCTAAGGATGGCAATGAGATGAGAATCTCTTAACAATGGCTTTCTGCTGTAACCCGGGCGGTACTCCAAGAGGTACCCCCTCTCCAATTGAAGGGATCAAAGCAGGTGCACAAGTGCTGTGGGAGGTGTAGGGACTCTCCTCCCTCTAAAGAGCAGAGCCAGACCACCAATGGGGACTTAACCATATGCCTTTTAATACTGGGAATATAACAGGCATAAATCAGAGGGTATAGTGGACACTACAATGCCCCAAGGGGGCAGGATTCAACAAAGGTTAGACACTTACAATCATTAAAAAACAGGGTTAACAAAATATAAAACACAAACAGCGGAACAAACAATACCAGTTGGTGAAATGTCAAATGACAAGGAAATATAGGGCCTTGGTACCTAGAGGGGGAGAACAATAGCCCTTTTCCACTGCAAGAAGATTTGCTTTTTGTTATTTCGCTCACCCCAAGTCACCTTAGCTGGGACTTGAACCCAGATCTCCCATGTGGAAGGCAGGAACAATGCCACACACCCACCACTGGAGGCGCTGCTCCAGCCTGCTAGTGGTCTTGATCTCCCTGGAGCCCCAGCCTCATGTCAAGCTGCCTGGCCTCTGGTTGGATGAGCTGGAAGCAGAGCTGGGAACCCCTCAGATTGCTGCTCAGATCCTGACTGGAGCGGGGGAGCCTCTCCTGCTGGCTGCAGCCTCTTGTAGGGGATCCTGGAGCCCAGTGGGGAGCCTCTTCTGCTGGCTGCATGCTGTGCTGCTGAGGGTCCCACTGCTGCCTGCAGGTCCTGCTCTTTCAGGCTCTTCTGGGGCACTGCTCCTGCCCAGCTGGCTCAGCTCTTGCAAGCTCTGTGAAGCTCCTTCCTTGTCCCTCACTGGTCTCTTCCCTGAGTCAGCCCATGCTGCCCCTTTTATCCCCCTCCAGGTGACCCAAGGGGCCAGTCGGGACATGGGGGGGGCGGTGAGTCTCTGGGGCCTGATTGGTGCCGAAAGGGAATCCCAAGTCCTCCAATCATGTTTTACCCCTTCAAAACCCCTGGGCCAAATCATTACCAGATTGCTGAGGAAAGGGAATCCCAAGTCCTCCAATCATCTTTTGCCCTTTCAAAACCCCTGGGCCAGGTCACTGCCAGCCAGCCCGTCACACTGCATTTGTAAATGCTGTAAGAACTGCTGTTCTATAGCCAGTATTATTCTGTGAAGTTGTTCTGTAAAGGCCTGATTCAACTCATACTGGAGTTTGTGATAGCTTTTTCAGCAACACCAATAAGTTTTGGCTCAGACCTGTAATGAACTGTTTTATCTAATGAGGATGTGTACTACTTTAATGTGTTTTGTTGTAGAATCTTCCATTTAATCAACAGCCAGAGGTGTTTGGATTGCATGAAAATGTGGATATTTCGAAGGACCTCCAGCAAACAAAACTCCTCTCTGAGTCTCTGATATTAACACAAGGAGGAAGCACACAGGGAGGCTCTGCTGGCAGCAGCGACAGTACTTTGTACGAAATAGCTGACGATGTTCTCAGCAAGGTAGTGTAAAAAGCCATTAAAGTTTTCTGCTAATTCACCCCTACAGATATTCTCTTTGCGACCTGGCCAACTTCATGGCCCTCCTGAGGATTTTGGTTTGCATGGTAGACAGGTGGTTGTGTTGTCTCAAATGCTGCCTTCACCTCTTGTGTAGATGGCAGAAGTACAGTCTGTTTGTGCTTGAAAGCATCCATCCTAAGAAAACTGCAACTGCCCAACCTGCAAAAGCTTCCTCAGTAACAACATAGGTTGCTGAGAAAATCTACAGCCTCTCTCTGTTGACTTCACACAGTACATTTTTTAAGGTGCTGGTTATTAGTTTTGATGCACAAGTGACACCTCTACACTTCAGGGTGGCATGTCTGAGCCTGGATTGCTACACTGATACCCCACCCACCTGTTTCATTCACATGTTCCAAACCCAGAAGCATGCACGTCTCTGAAGATGCTCTGGGGTATCTACCATGCTATTCTCAAGCATGCCATTGGTTGAGGTATTGAGAGCAGCTGCAGATGGGTGTCCTGCAGGGGCAATGCGTAAGGGGTGCACGCGAGTGCACATGCACTCCCTGAGTGTGGCGGTGCACCCCTTACAAAAAGGCACCTGCAGGCAGTTGCTGCTCGCCACCCCACTCCCCCACTGACACTGCTGGCAGCATCTTCAGGCAGTCAGTGATCCCTGCTGGCTGCTCTTGACACTGCTGGTGGCATCTGTGTGTGGTCGTCAACCCCTGGTTGGAGCTTGTCACCTCTGCCTTCACCACCACCAGCAATGCTGGAGGTAGTTTCATAGTTTCATAGTTTCTAGGGTCGGAAGGGACCTGAGCAGATCATCTAGTCCGACCCCCTGCCATGGCAGGAAAGAGTACTGGGGTCAAACGACCCCAGCAAGGTGTTCATCTAAAAGGTATCTGTGGAAGCTCCCGCTTACTGCTGCTGCACTCCTGCCACAGCCGTGCCCCTAGCTGCCAGGGGCATGCATCATTCATGGTGTCCTGTGATGTCTTCACCAGCATAGTTCTGGGTTTGTAGTGTGCTACTATGAGTGACTGGGGAGAGCTTAGAATGGTCCCTACTGGGAATACATGGTGACCACAGTGATGACATTTCCTAAAAGTTCTAGACTCAAGATACTTACAAGACTTTCTCCCTAAGACTAGGAGCATCCCTTATGACTCCTGAATAATGGAACGTCATCTCTAGGTGAAGCTCATCGGTACAGAGGATCTCTTTTGAGGTCTGGCTTCAGATTGTAGCACAATTTCTTTCTCTCTCACTCTCTTTCACCCCTCCCCACCCACCTTCCTTCCCCAATAAGAATTACCCCAATATGTGACATTTAACTTATTTGGGCTACAAGAACTGTCAAAACTCTCACACCAGCTATGTAGGAGTGTGAAAGAGAGTAGTTACAATCAACTGATCTTCTTGTTTGCTTTCATAATTCTGGAAGGGGTCAGATACCATGGTGCTGAGCCTGGTGTAATAATTTGGAAGAGAACAGTGTTTTTCTTAATAGAACATGTATTTATTGTAGTAGGATCCTGTCTTTTTCAACTCACCTCCTAGCTACCCCTCTTGTGTTAAATCTGTGATCCCTGTGTGTCATTTTACTCTGGGAATAACACTGTGGAAAGTATTAGACCATTCAGTACAGAATAAAAGTGCAAAACATACCAGGCTGGGAAAAGGCTGCAAGTAGACTGGAAGAGGTGTCATTGAGCAGCAGAAAACAGGAGGAAGAGAAATAGGTGCAATTAACCTGGGAAGTCAGTTCAGTATTATGGAACCACTTTACAACCATGAAACACTTATTGATAATTGTACACGATGCTAAAGATTTTAACGGTCATTTTTAAAATGACATTTTTAATTGCAATATCAGAGATATGTATTGATCAGATAGTCATTAAAGGGTGGTACAGAATATCTTTTCCTGTGGTGGTGATCTAGTTGTTATGAGCTTGTTTGCTTTGATTATGAGTTAAAAACAATTATAAGTCATAATGTATCTGCACTTGTCAAAGTATATTTAAATATGTTGACATTTACAGCTTCCAAATGATTTTGACATTGAGGCTTCACTACTAAAGTATCCTGTGAGATATGAAGAAAGTATGAACACTGTGTTGGTGCAAGAAATGGAGAGATTTAACAAGTAAGGAATTGTGTTAGTTAATTCAAACACATCTCTAATCATTCCCATAAGAGGCAATCCCACAGTGTGTCCAGTGTGGACTCTCACTTCTTAATGTGAGAGCATGTTTTCTTTGTTCCAGTTATAATTCCCTGATATCTACAATCCAAGTACTTTCCCCCCATTTGGAAAGGCAGACCATAGGGTGATTTATGGTTGAAGATCTAATGGGCAGATGAATTGATTGGGAAGGTGTGTCGTGTAGATGACCAAAGGAGAGGATTTGGAAAGGGGAATTGGAGGATGTGCATAAGTACATGTATGCATCGTTTGCTTTTTTTCATTTCTATTTTTACCTTCCTATTTTCATTGCTTTCACCTGTTCTCTTCCATCTCTTTGATTCTGTGCTTGTTGTCTTCCCCTCTCCCACTTCTATTCCTTATTATTTTTTCACCTCCTCCCATCTGTTTTCAACACTTTCTTTTTCCCTTCCCTGGATGCCCCTTCTTCCTACCTTTTTACTCTTTTTCATTCCTTCAAATCACTAGTCTAGACTCCTTCCTTTCCCCAAGTCCTAATGTTCTCTCCCATTACTATTTTTCTCCTGTTACCACCACCCCCCTAATGCATTTTTAGGATTATTGTTTTACTGTCCTTCCAGAGTGTAGACAGTATAAGACAAAAAATGTGTGAAACAAAATACCTCATTAGATTTTAGAAGTATTGTAGCAGAAATATTTTATTTCACATATAGAGAAACACATGAATGCAGGCCAAGCCCTACGAGGAGAGACTAGGGCACCTGGACCTCTTCAGCCTCTCCAAGAGAAGGTTGAGAGGCGACCTTGTGGCTGCCTATAAATTCATCAAGGGGGGCAGAAGGGAGTTGGTGAGGCTCTACTCACCAAGGCGCCCTGGGGGTCACAAAAAATAATGGCCATAAGCTAGCAGAGAGCAGATTTACACTGGACATTAGGAGGAACTTCTTCACAGTTAGAGTGGCCAAAATCTGGAATGGGCTTCCAGGGGAGGTGGTGCTCTCCCCTACCCTGGGGGTCTTCAAGAGGAGGTTGGATGAGCTTCTGGCTGCAGTCATCTGAACCCAGCACTCTTTCCTGTCTATGCAGGGGGTCAGACTCGATGATCTATGGAGGTCCCTTCTGACCCTAAAATCTATGAATCTATAACTCTGTCATTGAATCATTATATCCTCATAAGCATCCACTGCATGGTACTACCATTTTTTGCAAAGGTTTGCATCTTCCTGGGGCATTGGGGCTGAACAAAAGCTTTCCCAAAGATTTGGGAATTTCAGGCACCTGCAAGCTTCAGCTCTGGATCATAATTTTCTTTTATTTTGGGGATTTTAAAACTCAGGTTGTGTTTTGCTCTAACTCTTTGTAATCAAACAAAGATAAATTTTCATCTGACCTTTCTTCCAGACATTTCTTAACACATTGCTGATTGTTATGTGTTAAGTCTCTTGATGTTGGAAAGTCAGATGGAGAAACTTAGACATTACTGTAAATTAAAGTGATTTCTTCCTGGTGACAGAGCAAGACAATGCTAGGATCTGAAGTAGAGCTCAGGTCTCTTGATTGTCATGTTCTTCTATGCATTAGGTGTCTCCTAATGTACATTTATATACATGGAAAAAAAGACGTAATAGGCAACAATATGAACACAGTTTCTAGCTCTGCAAATTTTGCACGTTGTTGATGAGTGGGGATCCTGGTTTTCTCTGATTAAAAAAAAATAAATCACAAATTCTCTGATAAAAATTGCAAATTCTGATAGAACCTCCAAAATCTGCGATTAAATTAATGGTACTATATATATAGGTATCAAATGAACACAATGTTTTATTGACAATTTTTAAAAACAATTCATTTACAATTTTAAAGCAGTTTGGAAGCCTACCAGTGCCTCAATCACTATAATAACATACATTCTAAATACCTATACATTTTGGTATTTGATTTTGGGTTTTTTAGCATAGAAAATCAGAGCTTCCCCTGTCCCCTTACCTCATGAGGACGCAGGTCCAGGTTTCCCACTCCCAAGCCACATCCCACCAGCCCTGGCAGTGCCCCTCGATCCCCACCAACAGCCCCCACACCTTTGCTGGTGCCCCTCACTCCATGTCCACAGCCTCTCCCCGTACTGCTTGTGCCCTTGCTCCCCACCCACAGCCCCCTGCTCCCCCCAGCCCTGCCAGAGGGGGGCCCCAGCTGCCAGGGCTAGAGGGCCAGGAACCTGGGTCTGCAGTCCCCTGATCCCCACAGCAGTGCTCAAGCCCCAGCTGCCAGCCACAGGACGCAGTGGCTGTTGCACCAGATTTCATAGATTTCATAGACATTAGGGCTGGAAGGGACCTCGGAAGATCATCGAGTCCAGCCCCCCGCTCAAAGAGCAGGAAGTTAGCTGGGGTCGTAGGATCCCAGCAAGATAAGCTTCCAGTTTGCTCTTGAAGGTGTTCAATGTGGGTGCTTGAACCACCTCTGATGGCAGGCTGTTCCAGACCTTGGGGGCTCAGACAGTAAAGAAATTCTTCCTTATGTCCAGCCTGAAACAGTCT